TTTCTTACTCTGATTCTGTACTCGGATAGCCATCGTAGCTCTACTGTACAAACACTTCAGCACTTCGATATACCGAGAGTCAACTTGGCACCGCTGAAGGGACTGCAGCACCGCCCAAATTTCGACGGAATGAAAGGATTTCTCATAGTCCACATACGCAAGGCAAAGTGGCAGATTATACTCCTCTGTCTTCTATACAATCTGCCTCAGGGTATGTATGTGGTCCATGGTACTAAAGCCTTTTCGGAAACCGGCTTGTTCAGGAGACTGGAAGTCGTCAAGTCTGCGTGCGAGACGTTTCGTAATGACTCTCGAAAACAGCACGTAGACGCGGCTAGAAGGGAAATTGGTCTGTAGTTCTTCAAGAGAGCGTTGTTGCCTTTCTTGAAGGACAAGACCACCGCACTTCTGTTCCACGCCTCCGAAGTAGTGCCACCATGGAGGACGGAATTAAAGAGCTTCTGAAGGACTTCAAGTACCGGTTTTCCACCCACTTTCAAAAGCTCCGCTGTAATTCCATCCTCGCCCGGGGACTTGTCGTTTTTAAGGTGCTGGAGAGCCACTCTAATCTCGCTCAGACTGACGTCCGGGATATCTTCGGAATAGTGTCGGATAAGACTCTCTCTTGGATCGTTACTCACATTTGCGTGTGGCTCCAATGATGACGTGGACAGCTGATCACTGATACACTCGATCTTCAGCCTTGACAGTTGGCTCTTTCTGGCAGACAGATGTCTGGCAAAAACTTTGAAGCCTTGGTTCCGCTCGATCGCTTTTTCAATATAAGCAGAATTGAAGTTGCGTAAGTCCCGCCGCATGTATTTGGAGATCTGTCTGTTCAGTTGCCTGTATGCTGTCAAATCTGTTGAAGAATGTAGCTTCATTTCCCGTCTAACAGCCATGAGATTGAGAATGTCATCGGGGAAGTTTTTGTGTTCTTCTGCGGCGGGTCTTGCAGAACTTAGCTCCGACTGCATGGACAGTTTCTACGAGCTTGTCATTCATATCGTCCACTTCATTGCAGTCTTCTAGGCACTGAAAACGGTTTTGTAACTCGAGCTGAAAGGTTTCGGGACTTTGGAACAGAGCACGAGGGGGACGGAGCGTTGACTGCATTAGACGAGACCTTTCCAACTTAACGTTGAGGTTCAGTGTGCCTCTAACCATTCGGTGATCGCTACCAGTTTTCACCCTCGCGATCAAGGAGACATCACTGAACAGTTGTCGTCTGGTCGTCATAATGAAGTCAATCTCATTTTTTGTTGAACCGTCGGGGCTCGACCAGGTCCACTTCCTGTAGGGCCGCTTCTGGAAGAAAGAGTTCATCATAAAGAGTCCCTCTTTCTCCATGAAGTCGCGAAGCTGCTGACCCCTTGGGTTCCGTTGCCCTATTCCAAATTTCCCTACTTTCAGCTCACCGTTCTCTTTTGTGCCTAGTTTTGCATTGAAGTCTCCCATTAACACCGTATATTGGGTTTTGGAGGAATGCATGGCTCTAGAGATATCCTCATACATTTCTTCCACCTCCTGATCGGGGTGTGCTGAGGTTGGTGCGTAAACCTGTATGACCTTCAGCGAATACCGTTTGGTGATTCCGAGTATAAGGTACGCAACCCTCGTCCACACACTCTCAATCTTTACAACGTTGTTAACGAGAGACTTGTGGACGATAGATCCGACACCTCCTTGGGACAGATGGTTGCCCTCCCGGTGATAGAGCAAGTTGCCGGATTCGAGGATTACCGTGTCCTCCCGCTCTCTTTGGACCTCGGATAATCCTATAATATACCAGCGTAACTTGTCTTTCTCTTCTTCCAGCTCCACGATCTTCTCGTCAGTCCTCAGGGTTCGTGCGTTTATGTTGCCAGGTCGAGTCGTCTTAGGTGGCAACCGAACCTCCACCGGAGATTCTTAGCACCCCCTGCCCTGCCGTTACCATGGTGGCCACCGTAGCCAGGATGCTCTAATCTTTGCCATAGTTGCCACGCTTGGCGAGCGGATCGGCAACCGCAGTTTTTTTTATCATCTCCTCCCTGTTTCCCTTTGTCGCCTTTTACGACACAATATATATATATATGAATTTACTTCTTATAAATACAGCTTAATTATAGACTTTGAAATCAAACTCTGATCCTACGTCTCACTTTAAAAAATATGTGTATAAATATTTTAGAAATAAATAGGGATAGAAAAAACGTAATTTTAGACATATAGGTATAATACTATATTACTGAATAACAATATATATTAATGTACATGTCTAAATATTACAACTAAGATTACTACTGATATCGATATTTGATAACGGTTTTTCAATAACGATATGAAAACTAAATATCAGTTATGTAACCGTTGCAGCTAAAAACTGAAAACGATCATGCTTAGAAATGACAGCTTGTTGTTGTTTTTATTATTCGCTCGAGAGAGCAGGCAAAGAAACTATGCCATACAGCCTTGTCTTTTGTAATTATCCTTCATAGTTCACTACTTCACAATATGTTGATGCGTCACATTGTGCAGTTCTTGGGAGATTTTGACGGCAACTTGATCCAGCAGACAGCTGACAGTTGGCGATGGTATCTAAAGGCGCCTATGCAAACAAACAGCTTATCTTGAGAATCCATCACCATCAGAGCACTTGTTTCACTGTTTTCACTAATAGTTCACATGCGTAGACACTTAATACACAAAATCGCACTACTTTTACATATCAAAGTCCACTTCAAACCATTATTTAAACAATAATACAGGAGCAGCAAACCGCCGCCGGTCAATTTCCCGCCAAAAAACAAATGACAGCTTGAATTTGATAGACAGCTGACAACTTCTTAACGATTCGGCAAAGGAGGCAAGCGGAGATCTTCGAATATACAGCCACTTCTGATTTGTATTCTGGTCACCAAACTCTTCATTACATTACGAAGTTCTTGGGAGATTTTGACGAAACATTTGGTGATGATATTTCATACTCAAATCATGCAACACGCCGGAGATGAAGTTTCCGCCGAAACTCGCTCCTGGCTTGTGGTTTGTGGGTTAGAAATACAGATTGCAAACTGCCAGATGACTGTATTAGTAAATCAATCTGATACCGATTAATAAAATTCTCATATTTGCCACAGTTGCCATTGTTAACTGACCAGTTAGCAACGGAAGTTTTTTTTTTTATTATTTTTTATTTATCAGGAATATAATGCAGCCCAACTCCTGTGTCTTTTGACCCTGTTACACCATCCACGGGATAATATGGTGTAATGGATTCTCTTACGCTGCCTCTACACTGCGGAAAATCGACTATATAAAATGGTAAATTTTAAATTAAACGCAGTAAAATTCGTAAAATTAGTTTCATTTAATGTAGGTATAGTCAGTATAGTATTCGCGTAAAAATAAGAAATCATTGTGCAATCAAGGAAATATTATGAATAGTGCATAATGCATTCGTATTACATTAATTTGATTGTAATTATAATATTTTACAATGATTTAAAATGTTTGCAGGTAACAAAGTTTTTTGCACTTTTTTATATTCTTATTTTCTGTTACATATCTGTTACATTTTGGTTCGTGAAGCACTGACGCTCCACAAGATGAACATGAAACACCTATCCTTCCTCCCTCCCCCCTCGCGTTCACCATGGGTGCTGTAAAGCGCAATCTAATGTTGGCTCTAGAAATAATTACGTTAAAGATTTATTTTTAATTTAAAACATTTTTTAGAATAAACAGGTTCATTTTACAGAATAGTAGTTAGTATGAAACAAAATGTATATTAGTTGTGGTGATATTTCCTGTTCAGTAAATTTTAAGATTGTAACATAAGTTTTTCGTTACAGATTAAATAATTCTTCTAAATAATACTTCGTGCCAACCCGCCTGTCATACGTGGCAACTATGGCAAGATCCCGTCTATGATGCAATCTATATCGGAAGCCTTTTTTTATAGGATAAGGGTGACAAACGAGCACACAGTCCACCTGATGGTAAGTGGTTGCTGTGGCCCATAGACATCTACATCTCTCTTCGAATAAGAATCAAAATGCAGATGCGTTTGTCACCCATGAGGACTAAGATGGAATGCCTGCCTCCTTTCCAGTAAAAAAGGTCTCCGGTTCTCTACACTCACCATACGAAGCACAGCAGCGTTAAGCTGCAATTTTACGCTGGTATTCTGTGAGAGCGTGGTCCTTCCCCGGTCGAGCCGACCCATTCGTGCTACAACTATACTACTAATATAGCTGCGGCATGACTCTATCACGTATCTGTGTACAGCAGTGAACTTTTTCAAATGGATGAACAGCTTCGTGAACGGTTAACCCTAATTTGGTTTTTAAAAGTATTATGATTTATAGAGAAATGAATAATTAATCTAAATTTCCACAAAAAGAAAGGTTAATGAACCAAAAACTACTGACACATTTTCCACTGTACCACGTTAAGAGTTTGTGGGACCCAAATCTACGAAAACGTATGATTCTACTAATTCTGGCCTCGTTACCCGCAAATTAAGTTTCTCGTTTGCAAGTTATTGTCCCAAGATATTATATGTTAATGATGAATAGTAAATATATAAATACTAGAATATAAGACAGTATTAATTAAAGGTAAGAAAATTTATTAATATAGTTTGGGCTAAGTAACTGTGGTTTGGCTGGCCCTACCAAGCCTCCATTGCGCAGGTGCAAATAACCCCATTCACTCCGCGTCATGGGTCTTCTAAAAGGGATATACTACTCTCTAATGAGAAATCATCCACATGATTTTTATTGAATTATTAACGTTAAATGTTCGTGTTAAAACGACGTGGAATTATTAGAAAATTAACTTAAAATGTTATTTAAAACTCAGTTCTTGTTTTCACTGAAATATGTATAATTTACCGTAACTATGTCAAGACGTCAATAATTTAAGTATGCTCAATATCGTTGTTGAACTATAGAAAAGAGATATAACCAAATAACATGTGAAAATTTTAATTAAAAGCATACATGAAGCAAAAAATGGTAAATGACGCACAAATAGATTTGCCTCCAAATTCCAATATCGACGAACGTACAGACGAGACCATAAATGTGAATCGAACAATTAAAATCTTGGAATATAAGGTGAGAAATTTTATATTATTATGTGTATTATATTTTCTGTATTATTATAACTTATAGTAGATTAAGTATATAAAATAATATTTTTTAGGGATTGCTTTGGACATGTGCCCTGAGAGAAATATGTTTAACTGCCCTGTGGCTTCCATTAGGTGCATTAGTGTTTTGTTACGTGACTGCATCTATATTTCAAGCAGATGATATTCATGAAACACATTGTAAAGTAAGTTAAAAGTTACCGTTAATATATTTCTTATCAAATCTCAAAAATAAATTATTCTTATAATGAATATTACAGGTTTATAACGTAGTTCCCTCTATAAGCGCGATTACCGGAATTAGTCCACAAAGATACATTTGGAGGATATGCATCGCTTATCACTTAGGACCAAGACTTTTGATAGGGTCGCTATATTACAACTACCATAAACAGCGTACTTCACATATCACGGAAGAGAAGGTATTATTTGCCACGTTCTTAATTTTGGTACTTTAACAAATACACTTTTTACTACCAACAACCTTACCTCGTAGTTTTGTTGCCACGGATTTTAGCTTCATTCTTTTTTAGAACTACTAGAAATATTTTCTCACAATAACATGATTACATATTGACATTGATATACTGGTGCAAGCAAAATCTTCTTTCGACCTCCTCGTCTATATACAACCCTTTTATTTTTATTTTCTGTTGCTATACGCAAGTTATAAGGCATTGCATTTTTTTCATTTCTTTTTTTTTCAAGTTAACAACGGCTGCCCACACTGACGTAGCCATTTGCCCTGGTCTACAAACATATTCCCCAGGTCTGATTGTTTTCTCATTTTCATCAGTCCGCAAACAATACACTGCTGAATTTGGCCTCCTCCACAGTCCTGCCTGATTTGTCGGCATTCTTTTACATCTGGCATTACCTTAAGTTGGAGCTTGTGGCCCTACAAGCTCTTACGGGTGTAATTTTCCACTAGTCGTCACATGCGACATCCTTAGAAAAGATGGAGCAAAGAGTTTTCATAAAACATTACGACAAAGTAAGTATTTATTTACTTATGTGACATTACCACGCGGCTGCTTGTTTGACCATATGTAATTTATGTAAATAAAATATCTCCACGACATACTACTTAAAATTTTTTTTAAAGGGGTAACGTTTATTAAGTAAATGAAAATGATGCCCAAAGTCCAATAGCCGTGGTAGCTCAGGGTCTGCTCTTGCTGTCAGCAAAACCTGCATGCCAGAGAAACAAAAAAAATAATTCAAAGACATGCGAAGTCCGACAACAAGCATTAGGGCAGCGCGGCAGACATATCCTTGCCCTAAAACCTAAAACTTAGAAATAAGAGGAAACATGTGCGTGATATACGTCTGTAACTTCAAAAGCCAAAAGGTATTCTTCTCGTCTTGTAAAATACTACCCATAGTAATTGAAAACTTTTAAGAGTTTTTTAGAAATATTATTATTAGGGAACACATTAAAAGAAAAAAATCCGATCTAGGCATTAAACTGCGGACGTGATGACCACAAATGTGAGCAGAAGTACGAATTTTCGGAATTTTATAAAACATGGCGTAGACCGCGAACCGTTCGGGATAGAATTTTTTTTTAGGGAACCAAGGCCACCTCCCCCCGCCCGAACACGTACGTACCAGATTATCCACCATTACTGGGACAGCCTGTATAAGGAAACGAGATGAAATAATATTTATCTCCTTCACACTTTTTCTTATCTTGCCATGAAAGAAATATTATTTTATTTTAAATGACGCTACATTTTAATAGACGCTAGTAATTCATATATTTGTATTTGTTAGTCAATAATATAATACGTTTATCAATAATAATATACTACGAAAGGAACTTCGTTCCAATCGAGTATTCCACGACACTCATGCATTTTTTTTAAATAGGAAAATGCCTACGCATACCCGCCTCGCAGGAGCGAGGGCGGATTATGTCGGACTCGCACCGACTAAAACCCAATGGTATTCCACCATCGCCACATATTGGTAGGGCCACGGGAACGCTTTCGCAAACATCCGCCGCCTCACCGGCACCGGTCTCTCCATGGCAGTCCCTCCTCGGGAGAGCACTACTCCTCCCTCTTCTCCTTCACAGGTAAGGCGCACCAGAACACTAAGCGCGCCTTCCTTCGCGGCCTGTAAATGCACCTGCACAACGGATCCACTCGAATTCGATATGTGGAGGCCTTAGGGGCCAAGATATTCAAGCACTCGTAAGCATCAGCCTTCCTGATCCCAGCGGCGAACGTACAAAATGAGATCCCGCGACTCAAATTCGACTACGAAGGGAAAGTGGAGAAGACACCTCTCCCGCCATAGTCTAGCAACGCGCTTCCGGAGTGGGCTAGGCAAATCCACTCGGAGCAACCGCCTCTCGGGCCGGCCCTACACCTAGAGCCAACCAAGTAGTTTCCTCTTCGTTCACCTTGGGTGACCAAGCCACGACTACTAAGCCGCCACCCCCCCCCCCCCCCCCACCCCCTCCGCCATGACAAGGAGGGAACCTATTCGAAGGGGAAAAACTCATCACCCTACCACGTTATGAGAAAATAGTTTTATATTCAGCCATGATGCAAGTAAAACATAAATAAGTACTGCACACTTATCTTGTAATTTTTAATAAGGACACCGTAAGAAGCTTTCGATGCGAATGAAATAACTGACACAACAGATTGTTATGAGCATTACCTAAAAATCATTATAATACGATATTTGAAATGACACACAAGTACATATTTACATGTGTACATATTTATCCATTCTCATTTTTTTTTCTATGATTTGAATTCTAACTTTTGCAATCACAACTCAATAGAACTTCGTCTAATGCGACTCATTCAATTTCCAACTGATACATAACATCCAACTGATACAAAATATAACCTATTTTTTTGCAACTCCCAAATCAAATATTGAATTTGATATTCTCATCATAACACGCTACCGAGTTCACACACTCGTATACCTATATATAAAATATTTATTATGTATATTTTAAAATAAAAGTTATGGTAGAGTATACCTGTATATAAATGTAATTTTCGTTTACAGGCCCAAGTTTTAGCAGCTAAATTAGGAGAGGCCTGTTACTGGCTAAATTTATTAGAACTATTTGCTCTAACAGGAGTGACATACGTTTCAAATAGAGAAAATTATTGTAAGTACCATTTTAATTAAGGTAGTCGTAAGTCAGTAGTTAAAAACTAGAAATACTAAATTTTCCTGCCAAGTAGTATTTCTGGGTCTTGAGTAATTCTGGTTATTGTCAACATTTTTGCGACGTACAGTACATTGAATAGACTTTAGGACATTACTTTGTACATGGTAGAGTCACGCTGTACGTGGTAGAGCCATGTTGTACGTGATAGAGCCATGCTGCAGCTATATTAGTAGTAAAGTTGTAGCACGAATGGGTCGGCTCGACCGGGGAAGGACCACGCTCTCACAGAATACCAGCGTAAAATGGCAGCTTGACACTGCTGTGTTTCGCGTATCGTGTGAGTGAGGTGAGTGTAGAGAATCGGAGACCCTTTTTACTGGAAAAGAGGCATTCCATCTTAGTCCTCACGGGTGACGACGCATCTGCATTTTGATTCTTTATTGAGGATAATTGTAGATGTCTATGGGTCACAGCAACCATTTACCATCAGGTGGACTGTGTGCTCGTTGGTCACCCTATCCTATAAAAAAAACACTTTAGGATCTATGTGTAATGTGAGCTCCCGTAATACTGACATTTCATCTAAGCTTATCTCTACGAAAGATTGGAAAATTGGAAACAAACTAAAGCACAAAAAGCTACAAAAAGCTTAAAGTAACATTTTTTTTTTCAGTTATTCACGAAAAAATATTTATACTGTTTATGGTTGCTGCACTCCTCCATATGTTGTGTCGGGCTCGAGTTGGGTGCATCTCTAGCGATACTGTAGAGCCAGTCAGAACCAATAAACTTGTTTGGATATTATTCTACATTGCTATTGCAGCTACCACTGGACTCGTTATATTCTTCCTGAGACATCGGTTGTTATGTCGTCCCCTCGGTAAGATAATTTATTTCAAAATTGTATCTTATTAAAACTCAGCATAAGGTAAGCTCACCTGGCACCACTGAAAATATTAATCGCAATTTTAAGTACTTACGGATTCAATGGTGAAGAAAACTACCATGAGGAAACCTGTATATCACAGGAATTAAAATAAATATTTCTATATAACTATGAAATCCGCAAACACGCATAGAAGCAACGTGAAGTAATTTTCATCATCATCAACATCACAGCCTATCAAAAGTTCAAAAGTCCGCTGTTTAACAAGGGGCTCTCCCATAGATTGCCTCATAGAGGGAATTTGCTATAGCTGTTAAGCTTGGCGGGCGGGTTGGTAATCAGTAACGTAGAAAACAGTAACCGTAATTTTTTATTATTTTCATATCATTCTATCGCCTCTTACGACACCCACGGGATGGTTATTCATACCTACTCCTAATATCCCTACAAAAATGTGAGGACTTTTTTTAAATATATTACATTTACGTTCTATAGATAGCTTTATCAATCTAGTTGTTGAACTAAATAAATTGGTTGTAAACACGGTGTTTTGCGACATTTATTCTGTAGATATTTATTTTCCCCATTAAACAACTCTTATCACAATTCCAAAATAGTTTTCTCTGCTTTCCTGTAAGTTGGCTGGCATGATGCAACTATGTCTAAATAATTAAATAAAACTACATTCGGTTGGAAAGGCTTACCTGGATTATTTTATTCATTCTTATTCATATATTCTTTCATAATTTTATTATGAAACCTTACATAATGTTTAGGAACAAAAGGAGGGCTTGATACTTAAAAAATCTTTATCAGTAAACCTCAGGGCAGTGATAAACAGGAAAAGTCAAGAAAAGTTCTGATTTTTTCTGTCTTACTTAGTAAAAATTAATATTTAAAAGCCGAAGAAAGGATTGGCTAATTAAAACATCAGAAGGCCAAACAACTGACTCCATCGTAAGTGACGTGGCATGGATTATTGCCATTCGAAATTCAGGAATCGCTAGAGTCAAAAATGCCTCACTTGCAGCGCACCGCTTGACTGATGGATGATTATTGACCGACGGAGCCCTGGCGAAATAATGATATCGGAAAATATATCCAAAAACGCTATATTCAAATTTCGAATATGTGAAAACCAGCAGCATCATCAAATTTAAGATATTGGCTCTGCGGCCACAAGCCTGCCTGCTCTGTAAATCGTCTAAGAAATATGTGCCATTTGGAACATTTTTGATAAGGTCTAAATCGCTAATGATAATTAAGACGACGGTCATATGCAAGGTCACCGTGACCGCTGCTTCTCCCAATTGGACTATTAAAATTACTCAGTAACAACTATTGAACGTTCATTTTAAGTCTCTTCTTGGCTTACAATAAATCATCTCAAAACTTTTAATAGTGAATAAGCTTTTTAGAACTTTTTTGTTTACCGGCGCAAATAATACTATATTTTTCTTACTACATTTGCGTACCCACGCGACCTCGATATCGACTGGACCACGTGATTGTCTTGGTCGACTACTGATTGGTAAAGTTGAAATATATGATGAGTTTATTATGAAAGATGAGGAATAACGTAAATTATTTGCTTTTGAAAGATGACGGTATAAGCACATAGTTTCCGCTAGACGTAAAATAACCAGACTGGCGACGAAACGCCTGACACTGCCATTATTACGGCTCCGCTACACTATGCTTCTCGCGCTGCTCACCGCTTCTCTTCGCACTGCCGCGATGCTGCCCCCTCTGCCCACACCCTGTTCTAGTCGCGCAATTGATCGCGACGCTCCGCACTACTTCATTATATTAAACTGTGGCAGCATGCGCGCTGTATGCATATTTAGTAAGTATAGCTAATTATATCAATGTCACATCGTCGTCCTCGCCAACGGAGATGGTAGATGATATATATTCATCGCAATAGAACGACGCCTCCATAACGAGCGCGCGATTCGTAATTATCGTATTCGTCCAAAAAAGCGACAAAACATAGAGCGATGGGCATGGCCCGTGGCGATGTCATGCGAGGAGCATGACGTGCGGCATGACGAGTATTATTGCCACACTACGTCTCTGCCTCCTTTCCTCGCTACTTCCCAAGCCACTCGACGAGTTTGTGGCAGGGGGGTATGTACATCGTGAGAGTTCCATGTGTAGCAGTACCCTATTACGGCTGATGATGATGATAAAATTATCTTTTTTTTTATAAATAATAATTTACCATTATTTATATTTCAGCATTTACCTGGTTTTCTGTATGCGAATACATACTTGCGACAACAAACATGGCGTTCCATGCAATCGTGGTGCGAGATTTACCTCTACATCAGATTCAAGTTGTGTGCCCAACGCATCACAAGACAAACTAAACTTGTACGTAGTATCTACGAAACAACAATTGTTATTACATTTCTATCGTACACCTTAATTGTCATTTGTTAATACCTACCTGGAAGTTGATACCCATAAGTGTACACTGTGTATGAAACTTGTTTTTTTTTTTATAATTACGTTAAAATAATGTTTTAATTCAATCGATGACTCAATAAAAATAAGTTTTGAAATATTTGACAAAATATGTAACAGTCGCACAAACATTTAAATTGTATTAATTTTAAATGATAACGGTGGTTCAAAATTTGAAATGATTATTAAATTGTAAGTATTTATTGTGATAAAACTTTTTTGTAAATATATTAACTTCCCGTTTAATTTCGGTAGTAAATACTGTTGTTAATTAGTTTATTAAATATGGTTGCAATTTTCTTATATTATATAATGAGTAGTTACCTGAAACTTATCTTGTCAGTGATACAGTATTATAATAGATATAAATATAAAAAATATAAAAAAAATCTTGTCAATGATAAGTACAGTCTCTTGTAATAGATTTATGATAGTTGATAAGTTAAGTGAATACTGCCTTAATAAAATCATAACTTGTGGTTTCATACTGCAAGTAACAATAAAAATAGAATGCATTTTATAACTAACTTAACGTACCTACGTTAAGTATGATAAAATTTGAACAGTGATAAGTAATATCGATAAATATGAAAAGAAATACCGGAAAAGGACCAAAATTTTGATATTTCATTAAAACGTTATGGGATATCAATTTTTCTCAAATATAGTACGTGAGGGTAATATGGTCATCCGGTTAATATGGTCACTTTCTTATAACTCAAAAACTACAGCCTTATTTGCATAGATGACTTTGTGATACGATAGCTAACATTAGTCATTCAAATAATGAATGGTCAAAAGGGTGCCGCTTTATCGACCCCATTTTGACAGTTGATATTAAGTATAAGTAAATATTTTAGTCGATTTTAGTATTGGTAGTGTAGTTAGTTTTTTTTTTTAATTTGATTTTTCGAAGTGTTCCTAATTATTGCAAAGGCTTGTTTGCTATTTTTTTCTTAATATATTAGTTATACTATACGGCATCGTGTATTTGTCTCTGTCCTCCATCTGGGTTTGGTTTTATAGGGCGGCAAAACTTAAAGTGACCATGATATTACCCTCACCTCACCTACCTTATTTATTATCTTTATTTAAGCTCGCCTAAAGATAAACTTCTCAAAACTACGATTGAGACATGTAAGAAATACAAACCAGTTAAGAATCACCGTAATATTTCTACCTTTTCGATTACTGATACCTTTTCGATTACTGATTATATATCAACTTATTACCTGACAGTCGTAACATAACGAATAACAGGGTCACGTAACAAAATTCTGAAAGAAAATATTAACTAGAACAACCAATTACTTTTAATTAGGATTTACATCTAGGTAAGTAATAAGCTATATTATGCAAAGAAGAAAATATAGCCAGACCTTATTTTTTCGATCAGTGAAAATTTAAAAGTTATACGGCGTACCTATTAGCTTTAACGTTTGATTACGTTAAACGTTTTTCTTATTTTTTCTATATTAACCTAATTCTATATATGATATACTATGAAAGTTATTTCTTACTATTTTTTTTTTTAATTTAATGGCAGTTAAGTACTTCAAAGCTGTTATTTTATACCGGCTGTGTCCGCGATTTCATATGCGCAAACATATACCTACCTATTATCTACCAATTCTACGTTGACTTCTATTTACCTAGTTACGAGTATCAGTTGTAATTCATTATAGTAATAGAAATCCAGAAAATTGGACAATGTTTACGCATTTCCATAGTTGCTAAAATGCGACTGAAATACTTACAGTACCGTAAAAAACAGTGCCCGTGTGAAAATCAGCTTAGTAGGTACTAACTTATTCTAATAATCTACTCCGGCCACATTCATCGTTAACATTACAGATGAAAATTAATGGAAAAACTAACTGACAGACAATAACGACTGTCTCTCTTCTTCGTCTATTTTTAATAAAGATCAATTATATTACATTATACTCAATTTTAACAATATTAAGTACATTATTTTCACGTAGGATATTCTATCATTTGGTCAGCGCACGCTAATAAAGCAGCTGTGCAACAGCTTTTTCTTCCGACTTATGCGCGCATGTAGTCGACCGCGCGCGCAACACTCTCTAAAATTAGCACATCTTTTTTATTTGTCAACCAATATAGTGAATCGAACACTAAAAGTTAGCTTAAGCTTATCTCAATATATCACCCAAAACAGCATCCACATTGGTTGAGCCATAGTGGCGATTAGCGTGCGCAAAAGCAAATGACTATTGCAGAAGATTGACATATACAGCCAACTTCAAACAAAGAACGCTAAAGATGCGTTCTTTGTTTGAATTTGGGTGTATACCCTGAGGAATGCCTACAGACTGTAATTACATATACCGTCTCCCTCTACACTTTAGACCGGAACACTACAGCGTAGGCACTGCTATCTGACGGCAGAATTAAGTAAGTAAGTAAGAGGGTGGTACTTACCCAGACTGATTCCTGGGCAGAAAAGGAATCACCTAGAATTTTATTATATGATGTATAGATAATGTAATTCTATTCTCCATGACACTTTGACAATGTAAAAGATTCTTAGTGTAATAATAGCCTATTCTCTGCAAATGTGTAAGCTTCAAAGTGTTATGAGTGTGTGTTTGTTTAAAGCAATAAAAATATTACCTACTACTTACCTAAATCAAGTCATAACTTTATTTTATTGTCATGAGTTTACTCCTAACCACTGTCCTTCAAGTTAGATGGTAGATAGCGCAGAGATAACGCAAGGACTCTCATTTTAAACACCGGTTTATCTAGTCTTGCCTATTCGAGGTAGTTATTCCGGCGATGAAAGGTTCATCAGATTTTTTTGCGTCTCCATACATAACACTTTCTTGTGGGGGTATTTTACTATTTTCATAAAGATGATTATCATAAACCGCCTCTAAGCAACTTCTTCCAAATCTCCACCTCATCAATACTCACTGACATAAGGGAAAAATATACCCTAGATATTTTTAAAACATTACGTCAAATGCTCAATCATACTAGTTGTATTTATTATTTTAGGTAAAGTATATTTGAAAGAAAAATAAAAAGCAATAAATTTACTTAATTTGCCGTCATGATGATTTAGTCATATCGTCATCGAGTTCGATAGTCTTGATATAGCAGAATAAAGGCTATGCTATTAAGATTGATATGCCTACTTGAAAAATCAAGCAAAAAGGGAGAAAATTAAAAATTATTTTAAAATTTATATTACTAATGTGTTATTAGAAATATTAGACATTTAAAATTTGTTGTCTAATTTTAATAATGCAAACTTCAGGCATAATTATTTTAGTATTTACAATTTTCCATAATGCGTAGTGATTACGTTTTATATTTCATATTTATATATAATCTTAATAATACTCCGGTATTATTAAATGTGTCTATAACCTTATTATAATTTCATTTGTAACGCAAATTTAAAGGTAAAGTTTTCGTGAAAGCCCCAAGGCTACAATTTTAATCCCTTCATAAAAATAACTAACGAGTACACCATGGACGTATAAAAATTACCTTTTTTTATACCGTAACGACACCTATGCCAAACATAAAAAACAGGGGTGATATAAGACCGTAGTAACTACATATTAGTTAATCTGTGATATAACTGCCAGTATTTAAAGGAGAAAGGAGTTACTAAACCATGATGATTTTCTTTGTCCCAGTTATCAGACACTTTTTTTTTTTAATGTTGTTTGTAAACTAATAGTGTAATTAGTACTCTTCTAATATCTTCGTAACTCTAGGCTCTCGGGCAAAGATCAACGAGACTTTTAAATTCATTACTGGTTTCTATTAAGTTATCTATCCATTGAAGTGGATGTAATATTAAGTATTTCGCTACGCTACAGTATTTTTTATTTATTTTAATATACAGCCTATATGTAGCCTTTTTATTGATTTTGTTTTGCGCAAAAATGATACTAGGTACCTATTAGTATCAATAATGTCATTTTAATTATTAGTTTAATATACCTAAGCCTTAAAATAATTTTTGCATGTATTAGTACATAAATAATGTTTTATTGAAAATAAAAATCTGCTTAATCTTAACATGTTTGTTTTATTTAAGTTGAGAGAGTTTTATAGAATCGAGGTGACAAACGAGCACACAGTCCACCTGATGGTAAGTGGATGCTATGTCCCATAGACAATGCCGATGCGTTGTCACCCTTGAGGGCTAAGAATACCTGGTTTCCTGTAATAAGGATCTCCGGTTCTCTACACTCACCATACGAATCATAGCAGAATTAATCTGCTATTTTACGCTGGTATTCTGCGAGACCGTGGTCCTTCCCCGGTCGAGCCGACCCATTCGTGCCACAACCATAATATAGCTGCGTGGCTCTACCACAAATAAACACAAGTGGTAAAATTAAAGATTTTGTACAACTGACTTTAATATACAATTATTAAGGTAACTCAAAAACTACTGATCACACCATAGAAATAATTCTATGGGTCAGAGCTTGATCAAATTTATATGGGTCACACCAGAACACTTTACGTAGTTAATTAAAAAAAGAATCAATCATCAAAATCTGTTCACCTAGAGAAAAGTTATGAGGTAACACACATATTTTTTTTAAATACAGGTGAATTGAGGACCTCCTTCTATTTGAAGTCAGTTAAAAACTGAAGGATATGTCTGTACTGTTAAAATAACTGGTTTCTATTAAGCATAGGGAAATATTTGCATACTATTAAGACATAAATAACGATTTTTAAAACTTTTGTCTGTTTGTCTGTCTGTCCGAGTTAATCTTCGGAATGACTGAAACGATTGTAATAAAATTTAACGAACATATGAAGAGCAATGCCATGAGTGAACTAGGCTATTTTTTTTTAATAAGAAAAACTTAAAAAAACAAAAAACGAAAAGTTGATAAAAGAAATGATTTCTATCTTAAATGTAAACAACGAACCCAGGAAAGCCAGGAAGACTTACTAGTTTTAAATATAAGAAATTTAATATTAATAAAATTAAACGAGTTATACAAGAAGGCCCTAAATAATTAATTTATATTGTAACTTCAAACCTACAATAATTTAGCTAATTCTTATCTTTGTTTAGTGCAAATAGCAAGCCCTGTGGCAAGCTATCCTAACTAGTGCTTGTAGATTGTAGGTACCTATTAGTCCTAGCCTTACTGTAGTCACTATGTTGTTATGTACTAAGCACAAATCAATAAAGAAGTATAATGGTCTGAGGTACCTCGTAAGTACATTATTCTTCAATGAATATTGACTACAGTACCACAGAGCTTAGCTACCTAGTCAGTTGATAGCTGTGGCTAAAACGTAGCAGTTATATTATCTTTGCTAACAGCTTAAATTCTAGTATAAGTACTTCATATTAGTTTGTTCTTAAATTATTCTATGCTAAACGGTATTAGGAAATAGTATTGGCTATCGTTAGAGAGCATAATACATATATTCCTTGGGTTTAATTAATACTAAAATATAGAATCTAGCCAAATGTGGTCGATTTAAAGTCCTTTATTCTTAAAATGAAAAAAAAAACGTAGTGATTATAATTAATACTAAACAGGAACTATTTTTAATGACATTAATTTTGTATTTTAGAACATAATCAATATTAAAGCATTCATTATAAGTTACTGAATTGATCGCAAGCAATGAAGTCTATAGTAATAAAATATATTATTGCGCCCTCTAGAGGCAACTTCATTCATTTGTGCATTATCTCTAGATGGCGCTATGTATCTTCCTAGTTTGAAAATAGTTAGTCTTTCTATCCTTGTCTTTACAAAGATGGCGGCGATGGAGCTACGCAGGTATAAAATTTACATGTGTGGGTATAGTATACATGCACAAAATTTCACGTTTGACCACTCTGGGCACACACACAGCTGTGCTGAGACGGGTTGGCGCGGGGCAAGGGGAGTAACGTCCGTGAAGTTGTGTCAGCATATGCGCAAACGAGGTGCGCATTCGTCGCGTGCGTTGTCGGGATTCTTTGTGCCATTCTTCGCATACCAATAAGAGTATATTCTTAAAATTTACTCTTAAATTCACATTTAATCAAAATTCGGCCTTTCACCACATCTTCGAGCTTCGTAATAGGTGAGTAAAAATTAATTTTACTGTGATTTTCATACAGTTAACTCGAGATTTTGGTGATTTTTATTCGGGAATGTCAACAATGCGATCGCAATCCTGCAATATTTTACATAGTTGTCGCGTTTGCTTCGCTTCGACTTCCGGTCGTTCGGGTGTCGGCATTTCGCGATGTAAACATTATCTAGTTTTGGGAATGGGACATTTGGGAAAGGTGCTAGGGCATGAAGTGTGCTCAAGGTGTATTTGTGTTGTTAAATTCGCTTGAGTGTGCCTACTGGGATGGCGCAATTTTCGAAAGACGCGGTTTGGTATGGTTCGCCCGCGTTATACTTCAGTCGCGTTTGTGGCTGTTTGCGATTTGACGTATTCCGCGCGCGGTGATGACATTTGTCAACATATTTTATGAAATGTCAAACGTATTACATGCATTGCGCGAGTGAATGGTAAACAAATTGACAGTGAAATTGATATAAATGCAGTGAAATTCCTAACTGGTGACATGGACTGTTATTACTCGAAATATTATTCGAGGCGTGAGTACTTATTATTGAAAATAAACAAAATTCTTCGAATAACGTATAGAATTCCAAACATTTTGTTTACATTGTCAACGTTTTTAAAAGAACGTTTCTTTTTTTAATTTTGATTTAATTTTATTTTATTTTATTAAAAATTTGGACTATCTTTATTAATATTACAAATTAGATCACATCTTTACTAAAAGGTATTTAAGAAAATAAGTACTTTTAAAGTAATAAAACATTAAAAAAATCTTTTTAATTACCTACACTATAATTATATATTATTGTAATTCGCATACCACTGCTGAACATTTACGGTGTAAGAAAATCCCGCGGGTGCCGTGAGAGGTTACATAGGAAAACATCAGGAAATTGGCAGCAGTGTCTTCCTAGTTACGACTAAAAATAAAAAAAACTGCGGTTGCCAACCCGCTTGCCAAGCGTGGCAACTATGGCAAATATCCCCCCCTATGAGTCAATCCATTGGGGAGGCCTATGTTCAGCAGTGGACTTTAATAGGCTGTAACGGTAACGGTAACGGTACTGCTAAACAAGCCTCCCGCAAGAAAACACAAATAATTACTTGGTAGTAAATAATCAATAATTATTAAATATATTAATTACATGTTTTCTTTTGCCTGAATATGATATTTTAAATATGTTATTATAGTCTGACATAGTAGGTAATAGGACATTTGTATCCTGAGTTTTCATAGTTCGAGAAAACAAAACTGAACATAATAATATGTAATATAGAATAGATCATATAATGTTCTAAGTCAAGTCAGTAAAACGGTACAATTAGTTCTACGACTTAATTAGATTTAAAAAGCAAATGAATTGCGCGCTTATATGTATTCATTATATTATGGTATTGTAAAATAACTCATTTTACGATATTTATGAGCTGGTTCCATTGAATAAGTTTAGATTTTCAATTTCAATAAATTTACTTTAAAAGTTGCCATAAAGTTGGTTGTATTAAGAAAAATAATCTACGCCATGTTGAAGATACCTAATAATAACAAAGAGATAAGATTGTTCATGACAAAGCTTAGAAAATTATCCGTTGTCTTTGGGGCATTTTGTAGACCGGTACAAAGTTCAAACCACAAATCCTACACTAAACTTGGGTCTGTCACCCCGATACTGCATAAAGACCGCTTATTTTACATAAAAGTATAAAATGTAGAAAATAAAAGATATCGTGATTCAAATGGGCAGGTAGCCCATCACAACCTTTTAAACATTATTATGTTCAAAGTCTATATCAACTTGCATAACAGTCGTGGCAATGCAAAACGGTTTTAGGAGGACACTTGCTGAATTGCACATTTGCTTTAATTCGTGTAAAACCTCACCGCTTGATGGTGTTAGTTGACAGGTCACAATCTCTGTTCTTAGTGGACTCAAGTACAATATAACGCGTATGACAGCTTCTGATGTTGATACCTAAGGACCGTTTTGAATTTTATGCTATTCGTATATTTATGTACAATTTATGATAGAAATGTAGTTCCGCAATCTAAGTTTAGTTTAAGTATGTGAAAATTAAAGGTAAGGAAATGGGAAAAAAATAAGGCTTAAATTCGTCTAATTAAGCCTCATATGATTCTGGTAAAGTAATATAGGTATCTTAAAAGGCTTAACTGTAATCGGAATGTAATTAAAAAAAATTGTGTGTCTTTTTAAATTAATTATGCAGTTATGTGAGGGACATATACTGCACACATGTGGACTCACCTGCAGGGATGTACCCTGATAACTAACCGCAAAGGCTCGGGCGATGTACGATTGGCAGTAGGTCCGAAGTGGCTAAAAAATCTTATAGTTTGCTGATGGTTAGTAGATTAACCAGCACGAGGTTGCGCTTTACGTTCACTAACCCGCTTGTGCAGCGTAATAAGTATGGCAAATATTGTCAGAGTACGCCAGGGGCGCATAAAAAGGACTTAATGTTTAATGTATTTTTTTTAAGGGCAGGGTGACAAACGAGCACACAGTCCACCTGATGGTAAGTGGTTGATGTGACCCATAGACATCTACATCTATCCTCAATAAAGACTCAAGATGCAGATGCGTTGTCACCCGCGAGGACTAAGATGGAATGTCTCTATTCCAGTAAAATGGGTCTCCGGTTCTCTACACTCACCATACGAAACACAGCAGTGGTTGCTATTTTACGTTGCTATTCTGTGAGAGCGTGGTCCTTCCCCGGTCGAGCCGACCTATTCGTGCTACAACTATACTACTAATACAGCATGGCTCTACCACGTCTAAAAACCAATGTATGTAGTAGATAGATTAAAAGACTAAAGGAAACTAGTTTATTGATATAATAAGTGTAGTTTTTTTATGTCTTCAAGCAATACTCGTGATTGACAAGAAACTTCTTTAACCGTTAATGCTAAATAACGCAACTTTTCGCGCAAATTCATCGGGAAGTCCGTAGCACGATTTGGCACGGCGTCCATCTCGATTCCTAGATCTCCATTAACGCGAAGTGGCGAGTCACCGATCTGGAGAGATCGTGGAGCTACTTATGTATTTGTCGGTCTCCCGTACGGTTGCCAAGAGTTATTTTGGTCGATACGAGTTGATGTTTTTATTGCGGGCCGCGACGCCGACGCCGGTGCCTCGAGCGCGACAAGCAATAAGACGTGTTACGGTGTTAACCAACACGCTGGTCCTATAGAAACACGTAACGGACTATCTAATACAATTTATCGCACGTTTCTTCTTAGGGTAATTGAATCGGGTGAAGTTTGCGACTTAACAGCTTGTCACGCTTTTGTAAATAGGCCATTTTTAAGCGCCAAGATGATGAGATAATTCGAATAAGTAAAAGGAATTTAAGCAATTATAAGAAGAGCTAAAAACTGAATACTCATATTTGAATCATTTTTATCAGCATTGCCGCCTATGACAGTTCCACTGTTGAATAAAAGCCTGCTGTGAAAATTGGCACAATGTATATTTCTAAGTCTGCATCTACCTCTCACTGCACGTTAATACGTGCGATACAATACGCAATGTCTTGTATCGTTATGTTAGTTCATATTAATATACGAACTAACATAACAATACAAGACAACAGATGAAATTAATTTCCTCTTTAGAAAAATTCTTACATAATTACACTAATATAAACGAACTTGTGGAAATGATTCTGAAAACCATTCGCGGAATATTATTAAGAAATTGCAACATATCGAGAGTATATATATATCGAGAAGTAACAAAAAATCTCAATACTGGCTTTGAGCCAATTGATGTATTAGATCATCTTGCATCTAGATTATAGATATTATACTTACAAAAAAAAAAACTAATGTATACAGCTCATATCAGTATCCACTTGAGTTACCTACAATGTTTTCACAATGATAAACTGCTCCAAACACTCAAATTAAAAAAGATAACGTAAGCTTTTAAGAAAGCTACATAACGATAATTACGTTATAACACGTTAAGAGCAAAACTTGTTTGTCTGAGTTGCTCCACAACACTAATCATATAAAGTCATAATTTCTATCAAATATGTGGCATTACAGACATCCAACATAATATAAGTACCTTCAAACAAACAAACTCGTCTACGTCTCTAGAAAACCAGAAATCGGTCAGTAAATGTAGCTTTGTGAACTTTTATTATGCTGTCAAATGAGCGGCAATTGAAGCAATACGCACTCTATCATCATCGATACCGGAGTTAGTCGTTCTTTTAAGGCTTGCGGTAAGAACCTGCACTATAATGCAACAAATAGTGAAATTCCTCCAAATATATTTTGTGATAGATTCATAACAAACTGTACTTAGTTTTTCATTATACCTTAACAACTTTGTTATAAATATGTTCATGTTAAATTTAGGATAATGATCAAAGACCATTTCTTTTAAAAGTTTTTCGAATAAAATACAGCCTAGATAGGTCATACGTGCTATTGCTCTCTAACTGTTTGTGAAGTTACATATAATCGGTTCAGCCATTCCGAAGATTAGCACGGGCAGACAGACAGACACATATTTAAAAAATTTATATCTTAATAGCATGTAAATAACCCCTTACACATAAAAATAAAGCCTGTTATTTCTATATTACAGACAAACACTTCAATTATATTTATAGGGTTAAACAATAAAAACAATTAGGTGTGATACAATTATGTACCTTTGTTAGTATGGGCACAGTTTAAAGAGAGTAGCTTTAAACTGTGTTATCGGGGAGGATGTTAAACAGGTAGTAGATATATATATTACTACGATAAGGATATGTCGCCCAGCGACCACCGTGCACGGCCACTACCTGCTCCTATTGACCTGCAGAGGCTCCACTCCCTTTAATCCCCAAACAAACTCCCCGACCACGAATCAGCGCCGTTACACCCTGTCACGTATTACGCATACCTCAACAATAGCTAGGTGTTTCGGTATTTCCTTACAGCGGTTTGCGATATAATGCCCAGCTGATATTATGGAAAATTTGTAACAATATATTAAGTTCAAGGCATAATTGTATTCGTAGCGTTATAATGTACTTGAAACTTGCATTAGTTGTGATGTTAAAAATTGTAAAAATTTCGTCGTCTTATAATCGTAACCGTATATTTAAAGATATGTATACCAAAAACAGTGACCATTCAAGAAAGACAAACAAAACCGAATGTTTCTCGCTATGTAGTATTTTCAATAAGTTACAACATTTTGAAAAATGAATATTTTTAACTTATGCTATACTTTTGAGGTAAGCGAAATTTATCATGTTATGTGTCGCGGGCAGACAGAGCGTTGAAAAATTTTCCTCGCCGACTGGAGATATCATTGAGACGGTTGTCCAGTAGCCTCGCTCTATTCTTGTACTCCTATTTGTGGACTACTCTCATGTGAAGCCCTCGAAGCGGTTCTGACAAAATGACCCGTAACGTTATAAGTATAAAGTATTAATTCAAATCGACCGTCTACAGCATTATGACCTTTCGGCATGTTGAGGGGATTTGAGCGAAAGGACCCAC